CACAACCCTTACCTAATGAGACTGAATCAAGCAAATACCAAAAGACTGAATATTGAAAAGGCAATCTCTAAATGACGGAACAGGGATTTTAATTTGAGAATAGAAGCTGGAATTCTTGAACTGAGGATCAATTAGAAGAAATCATCCAAGAGGTAACTTTATTCAACACAATCCATCAGAGAGCTTCAAAGACTAGGTTGAAAATGACTTCTTTTACACCTGAACATTAAAGTAACAGCAAAGTAACATTTTGAATTCCAAAAGGATGCCACTGAGCCCAAGGAGCAAAACTGGCTGAGTGGAAGAGACCAAAGGTGAGTGTACGCAGTTTGGGTTCTCCATCACTTGAAGGTGAAAGTCGACGGCATTTAGAAAAGGCATAACTGCGTCACATCCGTGTTGCTGGTAGATGGCCAAGGTGCCGAGCTTCACGTAATTTTATGCTTTTCCTGTGGAAGGGGAGGTGATGCAGCAGACTTCCTGGTTCTATTTTGCTTGCACGTAATTGTTTTAGAAGGAGCAGAAACAGCAGGAATGGGGGTTTGTTGAGGAGGTGGACTGACTTGCAGTCCAGACTGAGTCATGTCTAATGCAGCAGCAAACTCTCATATTTTCTCATGCACTAAGATCAGGCAAGAAGATGCAGAGAAGAGTACTTCTGATGGGACACAATACAGGAGCTCCCTCTACTAGAATTTCACACAGACGAGGATTCAAATGGCTCTGGCTGATCTTGTTCAGGAATAGGTTCGAGGATGTCACTAACAGAGGGACACATGATTAAAAATGTGATAGCATGACAAAAGAAACATCATAAACACCACTGCATGTATGAAAGGCAGAATGACAGAAGTGGTTTGTGTGAGTCTGATTGGCTCAGTCGAGGAAGAAGATGATTGGACTGGAACAATGATGTCAGTGCTGAGTTTGACAGTGTGGGAGAGCGGTAGTGATGTAAAGAAGCTGAACACATAGGGAAGTGGGCAGATGATTGCAGAGCTTAATACTGAACTAACACATAGGCTTAGAATAGTTGAAAGGGGAATACTGTTGCTATGTCACTTTCCACACCTTCACAAATCAGTTTTTATACACTATACAGGTTTGTTTCCAGTACAGCAACTTTACCTCAGGAATGCTGACTAGTTTTGACAAAGCTTATATTATGATATATGCCAAAAATAATAAGGATGGTGCTTTCCATTTGATTTTTTCACCAGCAGATGAAACAAAATTTGGCACAAAAGAATTTAGTATATCACCGAGGGTCATTTGTTTAAGTTAATTGCTGTTAAAAAAAAGATTTATTGTTTACAAACAGTTTCATGAATTGTTTGTTTTAAAATAACTGTATTTACAATGTATCAGATGCTCAAATAAGGCATTCAAATGTATCCATCCTCTCAAACAT